CCTGGGCTCCTGCCCCCGTCCCTCCTCCAATGTTCTTGTGGCTCAGGGCCTGAGGGCTGGGGGGCGGGGGGTTCACAGGGTACACGTAGGCCTCTAGGCCCAGCTCGGACTGCATCTCTCTTTTGAGGGGTCTTTCCTCTATAGTCTGCTGGAAGCGGATGGTCTGGGTGGGTGTCTCCACGGCGTCCTGGGCCCAGGGAGTCCAGAACCTCTGGGTGGACTGAAAGCCATCCCAGTCCTCGGGGCAATCCCAGTTGTGCGAGGTTACTGTGCGCTGATGTGGAGGCCTCTCCTCCTCGTTGTCTTCATCAGTGTCAGGGACCCAGTCTACCAGGCGGCGGGTACGACGCGCTGCAGAGCCTCGGTGGCGATGGCGGCGAGTGGGTGGGGGGGTCATGGTCATTTTCACAGGGTCCACGGTGCATCGAAGGTGAACTGCCTGGGAGCACTGCTTCAGGGGCTGGGTCTGCTTCCCAGGTGAGCGTGACTTAGAAGCTTCTGTGGATCAGGGAGAGGTGAGAGGCTGGTGGGAGCCTGGCTCCTACAGAGTTGGAGAGGCAGGGGGCAAGGAGAGGAGCTGCATAGTGATGGTGTCTGGGAGGGGAGAGCAGGAGGGAAAGGGGCCAGCTCAGGGTCAGGGCTGAAACACCTAGTTTCTGCCCCTCCTCCTCCAACCCCCACTTACCTTTCTCACAAATAACACGGAATACCTGGTGTAAGAAGCCACGGAGTCTGCGCCAGAGCTGGGTGGGGGAGGACACAGTGACCCTGGGCTGGCCCTGGCCACCAGGCCCGCCCCGTAGCCATGCTGCCAGCACCCTCCCGCCCGGCCCCACCCTGACCAGCGTCACCATATTGATGCCAATGTTAATGCAGACGATGAGGCCCAGCAGCAACAGAATGGAGTTGCCCAGGTCCTGGCAGTTGTTGGTGTTGGGGCTGTGGTATGAGGCCCACCCAGGCCGGGGGCGCTCAGCCATGGCCATGGGGGTCCCTAGGGCCACTGGGGCCCTTAGACCCCCAGCCCACTGTGCCCACAGAATCCACCGGCCCACATTCCTGTCCCAGAGGCTCCTGGGGGTACACGGGTCACAATGATGGGGGGGCTCTCCCTCACAATGTGCCAAGGGGAGAGTCCTGGGCCCATGTCGATCCCCCGGCCTGGGCCCATGCCTTAGCAGAGACCAAACCCTTCACTTCACATGCCTCTCCTGCAGCCCGCCTCCCAGCCCAGCCCATAGGCCCTCCGGCCTTTCCGGTGTCTGCCCCCATCAACCCCTACCCGGTCCTCTCTACACCAGGTTCTGACCCCTGCACAGAGACTGATCCTGATTCCAACTCCCCAGACAAGCCTATTACGATGACAACCTCACCCCGAACCCTACTCCCCCTTTCTCTTGACATCAGAGCTGTTCACTGAAGAGGGCTGTGGGCTCAGAACCCCTCTTCCTCCCCCTCATCAGCAGAGTCACTTCCCCAGGCTCTTTTCTTTGGAGCTTCCCACCCCCACCTCCTAACACGACAGCCGGTACAACCAACAGTTAAACTTTTATATTTACAATATTCTCTTCATCTTTTGCCAGGTTTAAAAATGTGTACAGAGCCGCGAAGGGTTGGGATGGGGACATGGGATTGTAAGGAAATTGTTCTGGGGAGAGGGGCTAGGCATTGGAGTCCGTGGCTGAATCATGGGGTCCCCCAGCCCCCCTCCCATGCCCCAATTTGGGGGGCATCTGTCTACAGGGTTCAGGGCCCAGGTCCCTAGCATTTAGAGAGCATGGCTGTTTGGGAAGGAGCTAGACCAGGCAGGGGAAAGGGTGGGAAAAGAACTAAGTTTCCACGGGTGGAGGTGGGACAGAAGGGACAGTCAGGAGGCAAAGTTCTGGGGAGCCAAGACCAGGGATTCTGGATTTGGGTGTCAGTGGAAGACAGCACTCCACTCCCTACTCAGGTTTGGACTAACAAACCCACGAGACGCCGGCAGACGAGGATGCACTCCTTCTCTGCTGGTGTCCCTTAAAACCCTCCTTGACATCGTTCTTTTCTCCAGAGGCCCAAACCCTTTCTCTTTGGGCAGTCACCTTACACACGTCCTTTCAAATCAAATTCTTCCTGCCTGTATCTACCCAAGCCCCGTCCCCCACTGCCCCCTCCATCTGTTCCTCAGCACAGCTGACCCCATTTTCTCCCCAGGCTGTCCCGGGAAGCCCTTGTCCCCTGCTCTCCCCTCCCTCCTCCACTGCTCCTTTCCTTCATCCCTGGTGGCCCAGGGGGAGAGGGGGAAGGTCAAAGGAGGGGGAGGGTAGCTGAGGGGAGAAGCTGGTTTGACACCAGGGGGAGGAAGAACAGAGGCAGAGAGGAAGGGCTGAGACATGGTGTGGGGAGAAGAGGGACACAGGTGGAACCACTTTAACAGCCACCTCTTCCTCTCCTATATTCCACCTGCCCCCACATTTACCTACCCTGGCCCAGGACTGGGGCATCCTTGGCATATTTTGGGGGTCTTCTCCCCTCAAACCCACCTCCCCAGTTTGGCACAGGTGAGCAGTGGTCGGAGGACTGAGGAAAGGGCTGTCCTCAGGCCCCAGTGAGGGCTTTGGTCAAACATGCATGGCCTCTGTGGGTGGCAGGTGCCATGTCCCCCTCCCCCAAGCTGGGCATCTCTGGGGGAGGGAGAGGCAGAGCACCCACTCAGGGTTTGTACATCCCCCTCAGCTTCTGTCATTCTGACATCTGTTCCCACCTGCTGTGTGAGGAGAAATGAAGTGCTGGGCCCGAGGCCTGGGGGATGCAGGGAAGTGCTGGAGAGAAAGGGGCCGTCTGCATGGGAAAACATACATCCACATGCAAGAACATGTTTCCACTCAGAGAAGTGCGTCCTGGACCCGTGGGAAGACAAGTTCCCAGGCAGCACAGGGATGCAGGCTCTCCTCCTCCCCGCCCCCCACCCCCGGCAGGGAATCTGCGTCTGTCATCTGTGGAAACCAGGCTTCACCTGAATTGTGCCACGGGGGATAAACATGCTTCGCTGGGGTGGGGGCAGGGAGGGGGGCTGTGATTTACTCGCTACTTCCCAGGCACCACCCTGTGTCATCTGGTGGCCAAGGGTCACTGAGAACACAACACTTCCAAGGTCTCCAGGGGGTGGGAGGAGGGAGGAGGTGGGAGAAGGCATGAGGGAACAGGATTCTGGGGAACAAATCCCCGCAGAAATTCTTTGAGGGAGCCAACATGTGTCCAGGGCGGCAAAAAAAAAACCTCACCCTGCACATGGGAAAACACACCCCCTCGTGAGAAAGCACACCTCCACGTGGGAAAGCACTTCCGCGTCTCCACACACCGAGGACCTGTGTCCCAAGGGAGGGGAAACCCCCTCCACACCACCCCAGTTGTTCGAAGGCCCAGGTCCGGAGAAGGGAATGGGCCTCTCTGTCTGGGAGAAACACGAGTCCCGGTGAGGAAATCCATGTCCACCCAACGCTCCTCGACGTGTGACGACTCCACGCGAGAAGAGCCTGTGGCCAAGTCCCCCTCCCCGCCTTCTGAGTGGGCCGGGAGGTTTGGAAAGGGAGGCCTCCCTGAGCCACCCCCTATACCCGAGTGGTGGAGTGGGGGTGGGGAGCGTGTTGTTGTGGCTGGTTGCGGTGGGGGGAGGCGGGGGGAAGGGCCCAAAGGGATGGAGGGAGGGGGGCGGTGGGGGAGGTGGTGGCCCCAGGCCGCTGGGCAGCAGGGTCAGGGCCCCGGGGGCCAAGAGAGGCACGTC